TCGGGTTTTGGGGGTTTAAGGTTTAGGGTTCAGGGGTTTAGGGTTTAGGGGTTTAGGATTTCGGGTTGAGGGGTTTAGGGTTTAGGGTTCAGGGGCCTAGGGCGGAGGGGTTTAGGGTTTGGGGTTTAAGGGTTTAAGGTTTAGGGGCTTAGGGTGTAGGAGTTTTAGGGTTTCGGGTTTAGGGGGGTTCAGGGTTTAGGGTTTAGGGTGTAGGGGTTTAGGGTTGAGGGTTCAGGGTTTAGGGGTTTAGGGTTGAGGGGTTTAGGGTTTAGGGCGTAGGGTTTAGGGGCCAAAACATGGAGCTCTGCTTGCTGACATTGTGCTGAAAAGCATGGGTCATCTGGGCTTCGGCCACGGTTTCCGCTGTACACATGCAGCAATGCAAAAACACTGCTGTGAGAATCCTCGCAACAGGCGTGCGCATGGAGACCTGCCGATAAGTACATGCATCACGCATGCATGCACAACACACAACTGCGCACATACATGCTTGCATGCAGCCTTTAAGAACGAAGCCGAACTGTACAGCCCTAAACCCTGCGCCCGAAGACCACACAAATCGGATGCACCGAAAACTGAAACTCTCTGTAACATAACGAACCCTGGACCCGCATCATAGTTAAACTCCCTACATGAACCCTGGAAGAAACCCTAAACCCTAAACCCCTAAACCTATTCCTTATGAACCCTCATTAACCCCTGAGTCACCTCCTCCTCGCCCAGCGCCTCCTCCACATCGAGCCTACAAGAGGGTCACCATAAGGGTACAAAAAGGCACTAAATAGTCTATTATGAGGGTACTCTAAGGGATCTTCTGAACTCTAATGATAATAAGGAACCCCTAAAAGAATACAGGTATTACTATAATTCATGAGGGTACTATAAGGCATCTGGGTTTAGGGTTTTGGGGCTGTTTGTGGGCCTTCGGGATAGGGAAGCTGCCGGGTCTGTCTCCTATAACAAAGAAGCTCCAAGAATTCTGCTATTATGGTTTAGGGGTAGAGGGGTTCAGGGACTAAGAGGTTTTCTGTTGGTTTGGGGGGATTTGGGAGTTTGGGGTTTTGCGTTTATGGAATAAGGCCCTTACCAACCAAAAAAATAAGGATGGGCTGTTGGGTCCTACTTCCATAATGACCGAGATATTGAGTAGGTTGACAGTTGGCGGCTGAAGGCTGCGTTTTCTGAAAACCGTAGGATACTCGACGACTTCAGCGATTCTGCATTACACGGTCGGAGCCCTCAAACCCTAAGCCCTAAATTCCAAAATAGGGCTTGTACATCACCTAGACCAAAACTCAAATTGGGCTTGAGCTGGAGGGGTGCATGGAAGCCTACCTCCCAGCAAGGCCCCTATGCTATCTGAGAGGAGGACACCCCAGGGATCTGAGAACAGCACCACTGAGCCATAGCATCATGAAGCACGCTTGCTAAGGCAGGAGGGATTGGGTTTAAGGGTTATAAGGCTTTGGGGTTTGGGGTTTGGGGGCTTAGGGTTTAGGTTTAGGGTTTAGGGTTGAGAATATGCATGAGTGATCGTCGCGTTCTGTACGAGAGTAGAATAGTGTCTACAGCATTCATGCTGCCTTGCTGTCCTATCGTGGAAAAGGGTTCAAGAGTACCCAAAGCAACTACTCTACTTCAGCGAAACTGTGGTCCCTGCAGTCTCTCCTTTTACAATCCTGGCAAAACTTGGTCTCCAGCGTCTCTTTGACTGAAGAGGGCAACAAATAGAACGGGGTTCTGGGGTACATCATAAAACTTAAAAACGCAGATATAAACGGAACCCTCGAAACAAGGTTTCAGGAGAATCTACTAGGCACTGCCGAGCCATGGTAATATGTCACACGACGCTCTGCTCTTGTCTGTTAAGCCTCGCTTGCGGCTAGCAGGCCGTCTGATAGGTGCACTAAACCCCGAACCATGAAACCCTGCACCCAAAACCCCGAAGCCCTCAACTCAAACTCTAAAGCCCGAAGCCTGAAACCCCCAAAACCTGAAGCAACTGATCTTAACCTGAGACCCAGAAGCCTTCAACCCTTGCCCCTGCGCCCTGACACCCCAAACATGCTCTCAAACTTGAGCCTAAACCCTAAACCCCTAAACCCTAAACCCCTAAACCCCTAAACCCTAAACCCACAAACCCCTAAACCCTAAACCCTAAACCCCTCAAGCCCTAAACCATAAATCATCAGACAAAGCCAAACCTCCGATGTCGGTAGCAGCCCTCTACATGGGGGTTCCCAAAAATAGGGGACCCTAATATAGTACCCCAAATAGTAAGATCCCTATTATAAGGACCCCAAAATAAGGTACCCCCCCCATTTTCGGAAACCCCCACATGCAAGTCTCTCTCCAAGGAAACAGGGGAGGCCCAGTCCATTAGTGAAGGGCTTCTCCGGGTCTAGCTTTCTTTAATGTTTTAGGGTTTAGGGACCTAAACCCTAAGCCCTAAACTTTAGGGTTTGGGGATGTGTTTTTTTTGTTTTTGTTATGGGCTCTTTTCCGACTGCATGTACAGCCAGAATTCCTTACCAGGAGGAGCCTGTCATTGGGGGCCTCTCGAAAGCTAGGTTAAAGAAAACATATTATACTTCTACTTCTAAGGGTTTAGGGTTTAGGGCTTTTGGGTTTTTGGGTTTAAGCGTTTATAGGGATTGGGGTTTAGGGTGTGTAACAATGATTGACTCCGGGAACTACAATACTTCTAACGGTTTAGGGTTTAGGGTAGGGTTTTTTGGGATTAGGGTTTAGGGGTTTATGGGGTTTGGGGTTTAGGGTGTGTATCAATGATTGACTACTAGATTAGACTCTTCAGCGTGGCTTGATCCAACTCGTGCCGAGACACGTATCGTTGCACTCACGCAGCCAGCTCGAAAGAGAGCTATGTAAGTTCATCTGTATCGAACACGCACCGATGCCCTGAACCCTAAACCCTAAACACTGAACTCCTAAACAACCCTAAACCCTAAACACTGAACCTCTAAACAACCCTAAACCCTAAACACTGAACTCCAAAATAACCCCAAACCCTCAAGAACCCCTAAAGTCTATACCCTGGAAGCCCCTGAACCCCCACTGAGCCCGCAGTTTTTGCGCATCGGCTCGTTGCATCTCATGCAGCGACAAGGCGCTGAGTACGAATTACGTACGCATCGTCGGACTGGAGAGATCTTGAAACCAGAAGCCTAGTTAAGGGCTTCGGGTGTAGGGTCTAGGAGCTCTAGTGTTTAGGGTTTAGGGTTTAGGGATCAGAAACCCTACTTTTGGGGAGTCGTATTTCGAAAAGGGCTTTGGGGTATTGACATCAGAAATCTTAGTTCAGGGGTCGTATATCGAAAAGGGCTTCGGGGTCTTTTTTGTGCATGGTGACAACGACGACCCTAAACAACAGTAAACGTAGTTGTTCAGGTTCCGATATGACCGTCATTTGCTTCCAACGCCAACCTGCTCGGAGACCCTAATTCGAGATGCCCTAAACCCTAAACGCTAAGCCCTAAACCCCAACAGCTCCAAGACCCATGCGGCTCCAACCACCCAAGACGCTTCTGGCTTATGACGTGATCGCTTAGCCTACAGTTTCACATGCGCTTCATTCATCTCCTTGTGACCATGCACTACTCCAGCACACATAGACCCATAAAGAATGTAGGTTTAGTGCTTTCCAGACCCCAACCATATCAGGCTGCCTTAACCTGGGATAACTGCGGTCTCTGCTCATCAGGCTACGAGTGCTCTAATCGTAGGCAAACCGCAGCAAGGAGGACTCTCCAAGGCAAAGCTCAGCTGCAAGGATGTTAGAGTGAAGAGGTTCGAGTAGTGTGTTAAGCTTCAAGGTTTTCAAGGTTTTGGGGTTTAGGGTCTACAGTTTCGGACCGGTTTCGCCTCAAACTACTGTTGGAACCTCTGGGTGGGCAACTGTCATGGCTTCCTGACAGTTCGAGGGCGTTGAGTTTCAAGGAGCCCTGCTGCAAGACCGATGATGCGACGCCAAACAATTGTGTCAAGCTTCGGAGGAGAGAGTGTTAGCAAATCAGCGCTCCTCTGTATGAGCATCCCTGAATTCGACCTCTACAAACCCCAAGCCTGCTTTGAAACTGCCCGAACGCCTAAACGTAACAAAAACCAAATCAAAATCCGAAACCCCAAATCCCGAGCCTAAACACCACAAAGCCTAAATCCTCAGGTTTGCATCGTTTGGGGTCGTCTGTGGGACTTCGACGACCCGGGAAGCTGCATCGGGAGCCGGCGCAGGCGCCCCTCGCCGGGGTGCGGGCTCCTCGGGTCTAAACAAGCCCTACCTGTACGCATAGACATACATATCTATATATATATATATGTACAATATGTGTATATGTGTATACATATGTATATATATATACATATGTATATATATATATATAGTATGTGTGGGTATATGTGTATGTATATGTATATATATATATGTACATATATATATATATACATAAACGTAAATATGTATATACATGTATGTATGTATATATATATATAGCATAATACAGTTAGCCTCCATTGTAACTCCTTTTTTGGATTAACCAGTTGTATATTCAGGATCATAGTAGACGCCCTAAAGCTCTGAAGCTCCAAGGGACCCAATAATCAGGTACTCGGGTTTCGAACGTCAGTTTTGGCGGCTTAGTATCTGGGAGAGTATATGCTTATTTGGTGGTTACACCCTTCGGGAAAGTTGATGTAGGGTTTGATAGGGTTTTTTGTGCAGGGGCTCTATATCATGGACTATAGGGGGTTAAAGGGTGGAGGAGTATATGGGTTCAAGGGGTTCTCTAAGGGTCTTAGTCGCTAGACCAAGACTTTATCGGGACTAATGGAGGGGCTCCTCAAAGTGGTACTGGGTATGAGTAAATTTAAGGTATTTAAGGTTATGGGGGCCTGGGGAGATAATCGATCGAATAATCTAATGTCTGAATAATTAATGACACGCTAGATGCTATGGGGCTCATTTAGGGCTTCTGGCTTAGCTTCGCAAGTTAAGCTTGGGGGGGGGGGGTCAGTGTTTCGGTTTCTGTTTAAGGTGCATCTTCGTCTTCCCTAAACCCTAAACTGAACCCTAAACCCTAAACCCTAAACCCTAAACCCTAAACCCTAAACCCTAAACTGGGCTTCATTACTCAGGGTCTCGGGTCCCCGGCTTTCGTGTTCAGCGTGTTCGGCTCTCGGGCTGTGATTCTAGGATTGGCCTGCGATTCGGGATCCACGCCTTCCTGGCCCCGACTGAGCGAGCCCTTCTTAAACCTCGAATAGATATTGAAAAAATATTCAAGATTAAAAAAATGACCCGGCGTCAAAATTACTTGTTTGTGCTAGGCTCGTTTTGGGGTTAGGGCATCCCCTATCGTTTTACAGTGAATGCAACTTGGCAAAATTGTTGCAATTAGAGTATCGTCTTTAGAGCGTCCCCTATC